TATTCCCATGGTCGCTGAAAGATTGCGGTGCCATAGTCCCCATTAGTTCAGGAAACTCTATGGTGCTCGCCAGAACTATTGCAAATGGAAATGACGACGTAGGACGCAGGCCTGTGATTGAAATAATGTAACGTTAAATGTAATTGCAGTATTTCATCAAAATATGGATTACTATTAAATTTTTTAAAGACGATAGTCTTTCTTGGGACCTTCAACACAAAATTTTTAGTCTGTCTGTCTGTCTGTCTGTCTGTCTGTCTGTCCGTTCCTCTGTCTGTCCGTTCGTCCGTCCGTCTGTCTGTCTGTCTGTCTGTCTGTCTGTCTGTCTGTCTGTCTGTCTGTCTGTCTGTCTGTCTGTCTGTCTGTCTGTCTGTCTGTCTGTCGGTCCATTCGTCGGTCCGTCGACCCTTAACGGTACCTTGCAATTTAAACAGCACCAGCACCACGCGTAGGAGTCTTTTTTTGTGGATTTTTATTGCATTTTCTTATATAGATACGTATACATATACGGTGAGTGATGGCGACGCCAACGCCAGCGAGAATATCCAGCCAAGAGTGTTCATATAATTGCTATCTCAATTTATTGATGTAAAAAGTGTACAAAATGAGGTCCCGAAAAGTGTTGGATAGCCCCTTTAACGTTGCATCTCGCGTTATAACCATGAGACGGTACGTAATGTGGTCCGTTATCGTACGTTCCTTTCAAATGCTCAACGAACCAATTCTTCCTATTGTTTCTAGGTGTGCGAGTATTTACCATTGCAGTCGTGACACCATTCAAGGTTATACAGCTAGACGTCTAACTTCTCCTGTCGTATTCAGCAACGATGAAGCAGTAGGCCTACTTCGCAGAGGCATGAGTTGCCGTGCAGCTGATTTATTGCTTGATATGTGCCGTTTAACATTTCAAAACCACCATATGATTATGAGAGACGCCGTAGGAGAAGGTTCCTGAAATTTCGACTACCTGCATGCACTCAGATCAGAGTACACGGTCGTACAGCATTTTCGCCTCCATTGAAAATGCAGCCGGGATTCGATCTGGTAGTCTGCGGATCAGCAGTGGAGTACCTGGAGCACTAGACCACCGTGGTGGGGTTGCCGTGCATCAGGAAACGGATGATTGGCTACCCTAGGCGCATGTCAGTTCTTCGTTACAAGTTCGTAGCATGGTTGAATAAAATACATTTAAGAAGTGGGAAATGGAAGACGAGGAATAGACGCTTCGAAAGAATATATCTGTGCAGGTTCCACTTCTACCCCGGGTGGGAGGCCTCCTCATTCCAGGAAGCCAATGGCCGTCACTGCTTTCTTGGCCTTGGCGATGAGACATCGTTGTTGGTGGAGGTCTATTGAGGCGAGTTTGGTTAAGTCATATTTCCATCGTTGTAGTAGTTTATTCAAGCTGACGTATGTGCAGGAGCTTTGAAAACCTAGGAGAAAGGCAAATTGATAACGAGTTTCAGGGAATCAGGTATATTGAAGTTGCGAGTTTGCGATAAAACGACGAATCTGGATAAACTCACACGTGTATAAATGTCCGTCCATCATCGTCTTAAAATCAATACTTAAGTTTCGTGGAATGGTTTGCTTGATAGGAATAAAAAAATAAATCATGGCGTTATTGTCACCACAGTAAAATGTGACAACTCCAAAGATTGAAAAAATACTACAAATGTAAATATGGCACACACGATGAAGTTAAAAAGTCTTCTTAGTCGAAAAACTTGTTTAAATATATGAAGAGCTTCAATGTCAACTTCATGAAACGTTCAGTAAAGTAGTGATATTGAATTCGCTGCAATGCTTCGCTACTAACTGTGCCCACCTAATACAACTTTTCGCCGCATATTCCAGGCCACATCAAACATTTATTCTTCAGCGTGCGACTCAAAGAAGCGCTGTTTTTAGATGCTTTAAGCAATGTGCTTCTTCCGGGCGTCAAACTCTAGATGCTGTCTATAGTTATCCGAGTGCGTAAGCATAGATTCTTAGCGACGTTCTTCCGAGTGTAGTGATTGGTGCACGGATGATACGATGCCAAATTTTAGCTGCGGACATTCTTGCATAGCCTAATCTAAGTCGTGGTACTGATCATCGTAATTTCTTCTCGTTCATAACGCAACGCCGTCTTAAAGCTTGAAAAAATAAACAACGCGAAAAATAATGCACACGATGAACATTTCAACACTGCAGAAAAAATACCTCACTAAATATCATAAATATTTCTAACATTTAGCTTCTTTTCTGATTACGTTGAAGTGAAATCGGCTCTAATGAAAAGATATAGTTTACCTAGAGCTATTGTAAGCATTGTATTAATTTGCTTGCGTAAGTAAGAAGGTTCCCAAACCTCGAAACTGTATTGTAGAGCTAGCGAGGTCTGAACAACCTTATTTGGATGAGGTCTCGGTGTAGGCTTATTGTAAGTGCGTGTGTACGTGCTTGTGTGGATCCGTCCATTCAGCAAGGAAACTGACAGCACTATTTCACTTCACTTCACTTCACTTTTATTTCCTTAAAGACCCCCTGTAGGGGTATTACATAAGGGGTGGTGCATAACAAAAAGATAACTATACAACGGTGTTTTTAATGGCTTCTGCAAACATAGATGGGTTAGTGATGGCACAGATGGCGTGAGGAAGGCCATTCCAGTCTTTTGCTGCTCTTACGAAAAAGGAGGCTTGGAATACAGTGGTCCGGGTACGTGGTAATGCGACTTGTAACGGATGACCAGTGCGATGGGATATGTGCGGAGGGGGCGTGATGTACGGTGGATGATTCAGTGAACTGAAATAAAACATATGAAAAAGAGAGAGGGTGGCACACCGTCGGCGTGAAGCAAGGGTTTCTAGACCTGATTCCGCCTTTAGAGATGAGATGCTGATATCGTACGAATATGCAGAATGAATGAACCTGGTAGCCCGATTTTGAAGTGATTCGAGTTCACTTATGATGTATGATTGATGAGGGCTCCAGATGGAAGATGCATACTCGAGTTTGGACCTGATAAATGATTTGTATGCAAGCGTCTTGACGTGAGGCGGAGTATGGCGTAAGTGTCGTCTGAGAAACCCGAGTGATTTATTAGCAGACGAGATGATGTTAGTAGTGTGATGACGCCAAGACAGGTCATGAGCCAAGGTGATGCCGAGGTATTTGAATGATTGAACTGATTGTATGGGAACATTAGTGATGGAATAGGTAAACTCAAAAGGGTTACGGTGGCGAGAAAAAGAAACAAGCTTACATTTATTAGGATTTAAGTTCATTAACCAACGATCACACCATGTTTGTATGTTGTTAAGATCATGCTGAATTAGTGTTTGGTCATGAATGTTGGTTACTGATCGGTAGATTACGCAGTCATCGGCAAACATACGAAAGTTACATGATACATGCAATGGTAGGTCGTTAATGTAAATTAAAAAGAGTAGAGGCCCTAAGACAGACCCTTGCGGGACACCTGAGGTTACAGGTAGTCGGTTAGATGAGTGATTATTAACAAACACAAATTGGGAACGATTAGTCAGGAAAGATGTTATCCATGCAAGTACATTAGGATCTAGATTTAACAGAGATAATTTAAGAATTAGGCGTTTGTGAGGGACAGTGTCAAATGCTTTGGCGAAATCCAGGAAAAGAGCATCGGTCTGAATGTTGCAGTCAAGGTTAGAATGTAAGTCGTGAATGAAAATGGCCAGCTGCGTTTCACAAGAATAACCCCTTCGGAACCCGTGTTGAGAAGGATGAAAAAAGTGCATTGAGTCCAAGAAGTTGATGATATGGGAGTAGATGACATGTTCCATGATTTTGCAGGGGATACTTGTTAAGGATATGGGACGGTAATTTAGTGGAGAATCTCTGTTACCTGATTTGTAGACTGGAATGACCTTGCCTACTTTCCAGTCTGCTGGCAGAATGCTTGATGATAATGACTGCGAAAATAACAATGTAAGGTATGCGGCACACACATGTTTAACATTTATGAGAAGTTTTGAATTAATGTCATCCACACCTGCAGAAGAAGAAAGCTTAATCTTTTCTATAATCGAAATGATGCCGTCCGTAGAAAATGCAATCGGGGGCATAGACTCGGTGCTGCGCGCAGGTGAAGAAAAATCGGGAACTGAACTCTCATTCGTAAAAACAGAGAAAAAGGCCTCGTTAAAAAGGTTCGCGCATTCATTGTTGTCGACTATATCGCCATGCGCATTTGAAAGACTAGTGGTGCGCATCTCCTGAGGGTTTATCACCTCCCAGAATTTGCGAGGGCTGGTTGCAAGCATTTTGGGCAGCTCTTCATGAAAGAACACGTGCTTGGCGTTACGAATGGTTCTAAGATAATCATCTTCCGCGGCGTAATATTTTTCCCATAAGGACAGAAGTTTAGACTGTTTGGCTGATCGGAAGAGGCGTTTTTTCTTGTTTCTTAGTTTGTGAAGTGTACTTGAAAACCATGGCTTGTTTCGGTTTGCGGTAAACGTTATTTTTGGGATAAATTTCTCGACAAGAGTGGCTAACTTATCTCTAAATATAATCCAATTCTCATCCACAGAGCGTGTATGGCTTATTCTCTCGAAATCAGGAAGAAAAGATATCAATTCATTATTGATGGCACTATAATTGCCCTTGTCGTAAAGACGGATTGTTTTGGTGACAAGATCGCGTTTTACAGGTCGAAACGCAAAGGCCGCATGGATTACCTTGTGGTCACTGACGGCACGCAGATATGTAATTGATGATAAGCTCTCTTGATGACTAGTTAGTATTAGATCTAAGATGCTGGAATTGCTCTCTGTAACGCGCGTTGGTTGGGATACAAGTTGGGTTAGATTGCAATTCAGGCAGAAATCTATGAAGTCCCTTGCGGGCTCACTGCCCACAGCTGACGGGACGCTACTACTCCAATCTATTTGAGGGAAATTAAAATCGCCGAAAAGCAGTATCTCTGCTTGCGGATACTGTTTCCCAAGGTCACTCAGGGTTGTTGTTGAGCTTATATGCGAAATCTGGGTCACTGTTCGGGGGCCTATAACAAACGCCTACAAGGACAGTATGAGGGCGAGCACGGCAAACGACCCAAAGAATTTCAAGTTCAGGAGAGTTGGTCCTGGCCACCGAGCACGATAACTGTTGGTGCACAGCCATCAGAACCCCGCCTCCACGTGCGCCTGTACGGTCCTTACGATAAAGTTGAAATCCAGGTAGGTGATCTAGCACTTCTGCATCGGTTATATCATTTGTCAGCCAAGTCTCGGTTATCACCAATACGTTACTGCTTGATGACAAAACAAGCTCAGAAAAAGTTATGCGTTTCGGAAAAAAACTGCGCGCGTTAGCAAAGACTACCGAAAGTGACAGGCCAGATTGAGGTGTGGGGGTGTGCCCGGCAGATTTGCGCCGAGGAAATTGCTACGACGCTTCCCTTACAGTTTGCGATTGCTCATCGTAGACGTAGCGCTTGTGACCCATTAGCAGTGTCTTGTACGTGATGGAAAAAGGCAGCGACTTGGTTTTAGCAAAGGCAATCAATTGCCGACGGACATTTTGCACACGACGTGAAAAATCTTCACCAACACTAAAAGTGGTTCCTTTAAATTTCCGTCCATTAGAAAGAATCTCTCCTTTTGTTTTATGGAATGCGAATTTAACTATTATGGGGCGATGGTGGTTAGTACCCTTGCGGCGACCCAGACGATGCGCGCGCTCAATTTCCTTCGGATCGATGGAAATACCTAGACGATCACGGCAGTGCTTGATGACAAGTTGTTCAACTTGGACAAGTGCTTCCGATCCAGTTGATTCAGGAAGGCCATAAAATATGAGGTTATTGCGCCGAGAATGATTCTCGGCTTCATCCACGCGCGCTTCAAGCTTGCGCAGAAGGTCACTCGCGCGAGCGGTGTCTCTTCTGAGCGCTTCCACATCAGTACGTAAGGAAATAATATTTTGACAGTGCCCTTCCAGATCAGTCATGCGTCTACTGAGATCTGCTATAGATTTATCTGTTGATAGCAAATGGGACTTAAGGTCCTGTACCTGACTGATTAATTCCGTCTGACCGGCAGACAATTTCTGCAGTTCAGTTAGTACAGCATTAGAAGCAGGACCCGGATTGCTTTCAATATCGCCCGACATCATCAACAAGGCACGAATAACACGAGAACACTCAAGTGCAACAAGAACGCAGCAGTGTGGGCTCGGCAGCTGAAACAGCAGGTAATTACTAGACTTCTTAGCGAGAAGACTGTAAGTTTTACTAACCTGCATGACAAGAGTGAAAGGATTAGCGGTCTGCGTTGGTGCACAGCCGCCGAGCCCACACAGCGCCGCCGGCAAAGGCCGCTCTTTTGTAGTCGACACAGGCATCGATGCCGATGCTGATAGCGTCGACCAGGTTTTGTCGAGGACCATGTAGCTGACCGGTGGCGCCGGAAGGGATCCAGATCTGTTGCGTGAGGTGAAATCCAGTGGTTCCAAGTACGTTGCGGTTGATAAGCTTGTGTCGAAGACCAAGAGGGCGTGACAGGTAAGCGTGCCACTTTCGCTGGAACGATGTTGATACTGCAACGGTGTGGTCAAGGAAGCTGGCAGGAAAACGGAAAGCAGTATGCGCAGGAATGCGCACTGAAACACCTGCATGACAAGAGTGAAAGGATTAGCGGTCTGCGTTGGTGCACAGCCGCCGAGCCCACACAGCGCCGCCGGCAAAGGCCGCTCTTTTGTAGTCGACACAGGCATCGATGCCGATGCTGATAGCGTCGACCAGGTTTTGTCGAGGACCATGTAGCTGACCGGTGGCGCCGGAAGGGATCCAGATCTGTTGCGTGAGGTGAAATCCAGTGGTTCCAAGTACGTTGCGGTTGATAAGCTTGTGTCGAAGACCAAGAGGGCGTGACAGGTAAGCGTGCCACTTTCGCTGGAACGATGTTGATACTGCAACGGTGTGGTCAAGGAAGCTGGCAGGAAAACGGAAAGCAGTATGCGCAGGAATGCGCACTGAAACACCTGCATGACAAGAGTGAAAGGATTAGCGGTCTGCGTTGGTGCACAGCCACCGAGCCCACCTATTCTGAGCAGCATCATGAAATCCATTAACAATATTTCGTCACGTGGGGTATGCCTACCTGCACAGTGGGTACCTTCGCACGTGGGTATTGCGAGCAATGAAGAAGCGCATCGCCTTGTTTTGTGATGCAATCATGATGGCTGTGACTGTGCGGGAATTTTATGTACGATGAACAACGCTCGTCTGCCTATACGCCGACACCTCGTAAAGCAGCACCCAGACCAGCGTGTGGCGAATGGATCGTTTCCTCCCCGTGTTCGTGGCCGTGGCTTGCCTCGTAGTTCTCGAGTGCTGTTGTACAAACTAAGAGTGGGCTCTGTGCTGGTGCGCGAACGATTACATCGTCAAGGGCGTGTGGACAGCCCGTTGTGCGCAGCTTGTGGCTCCTGCGAAACACTTGAGCATCTCGCAGTGCACTGTTCCACATTTGCTACGCAGCGGTCTTTGCTGAATAATGAATATAAATTTCTGAGACTTAAGTGCGCGACTCTACGCGACTACCTCTTTCCGAGTGGTAGTGCTTCCCGACGTGACCAGGCCTACCGGGCTCTCCTTGCATTTATGAACCAAACGGACCTGGCCACCCGTTTGTAGACGGTCTTTTTTTCTTTTTAATTATTTTTATTTATGTTTTTTCACTCATACTCGTTGAAGTATTCGTCATTTTTTTCCTTCCTCATCTTCTTTCCTCTTTCTCCCCTCTAATCTTTGTTTCCTCTGTTTCTTCCCTCCTCCCAAAAGAGTGAGCAGGCGTAGTGCCCCTCCAGGTGGCAGTTGCCAGCTTGCTCTCTCCCTCTTTCCTCTGTGTCCTCGTGTATCTGTGTATGCAAATCAAATAATAACAATAATTTATCCATCGATGTGTGTGCGCGTGCGTGCGTGCTCAGTGTAGCGACGACCGAAAAAGTTGGCGCCTGCATGGCGTCTTGCCCGTATCCGTGACGAATAAGATGTACAAGTTCATTTCGTCTATTGGTTCACCCGTTTCGAGCAGCTATAGCAGCACATGTCACGTGTTAGAGTACAAGCAATAAGCAATGTGAAGCACTATCATCCTACATTTCATGCTGCTCAGCACACTTGCTTCACAGGATGTTTCGCGTGGTCACTGAACGAGGTACGTGCGTGTTTGGCTGTGCATTTTCGACACTACATAGGTTATGTAATCAAATTCAATTTGCTCTACCATATAATGCCGGTAAGACAGCAAGCCTTAATTCGATTAGTGATGCATTGAAGTACTCATCAAATGAGGGATTAGATATTGAGAGAAGATGTGGCCTCCTTGATAAATTCGTAGAATAAGAGCAAGAAAAAATATGCAGTAAAGTCCAAGCCACTGCTTTACTCTTATCACAATAAGAAGAGTGCACTATTTAATACCTGTTGCATGAAAACTAAAAAGCAGATACTGCATATTCATGTTTGAGTAGATAATACAAGTTGAATTTTATCTAAGCAACCCTAGGTGCGAAAAGTCTGCACCGTAACTTAATCAAGCAACTATGTTTTTGTGATAGGTAATATGCAAGAAAGCTCTAAGTGACGAGAATACTTCGAGTTACGTAAACCTATATTACACAACATTGTCAGCAAAAGTTGTTACATTCTACTTTTCTGTTAACACACCTCAATTGATCTCAGGTTATTTTGATCAGTGATTCAGTATGCCGGTCTTCTTATAATCTCCAGAATGAGCCGATTCTATGAAGTTTCCTTAAGTTCTGAAAGTTTCCATCGCGTCACACATTTACACAGCACATATTGAAGAAATGAACAGCTTGCAGGCGTTTATCAACGTCAAATTCTGCCAAAACTTCTTTTCACTTATGAAACTCAAAATAATGTTTTCTTGAAGAGAGAGAACATAAGGAGAAAGGCAGCGAGGTTAACTAGGGCTTATCCCCGGTAGGCTACCCTGCGCTGAGGAAGGGGAGAGGGGAAGGAAAGTTATAGAGGAGGAGAAAAAAGGTCACTGACTGGGTCGACGCGGAACAGTTTCACCATCACAAACGATGAAACTATCCAGTGTCTTTGAGGAAACGCAACAGAGCTTTCGTTGCCTTTAGGAAATTGGATGGGCAGTGCCATGGTCCCAATACTTTCTCGACAGCGAAATCACTTCTGTCCAGTTGACTTAAAGCACTGCGCAAGTGAACCCTCTCGTTTGTGTAACATAAAGGCAGTAACATAAGGTGTGTTCAATAGTCCCATCGACGGCGCAGTCGTTGCACTCCGCACTGACGGCCATCCCTATCTTAAATGAGAGGGCATTGGTGAAGGCTACGCCCATACGCATACGGCACAATACTGTACCCTCCTTCCCAGAAAAAGCAGAAGGTAGCCGCAGTCGTAGACATGGGTCGAAACAATATAGTCGATGATGTGTGAACTGTGATGACTGCCACTTCTGGAGTGTCATGTTCTGAGCCAGCGCACTTAGCTATATAGCCGAGTCAATCTTAGATAAAGGCACGGACACAGGGTTTGTTTGTACGTGTGCGTTTTTGGCTGCTTCATTGGCGAGATCGTTTCCGAAGATACCGCAATGACTTGGTATCCACTGGAACACAACGTTGTGTCCTTGTTTGGTCGCATAGTGCAGCATTTCTATGATCTCCCATACTAGTTGTCCGTACGACCCGCGACGAAGTGCCGACTAAAGACATTGTAGAGCCGCCTTGGAGTCACAGAATACTGCCCATAGATTAGCCGGTTGTTGCTTGATATAATCGATGGCACCTCGTAGGGCAACAATGTCCAAACCAGTCGACGTGCTCACGTGACAAAGTTTGTAAGGGAAAGTTTACTAGAAACCCAGGGATATTATTGGAAAGTTGTTTCACAATTGGCGGGCAAGCTCGATTCAGCAGCGCAGTTAAGGTGCTGGCAGCGTTGTATGAAATCACATCGTTGTAGTTCTGATGATTCCAGCGAGCGTTTTGTTAGGCGACTTCCTCTTGGTGCTGGAAAAATTATCCAACGGAGGAAATAATGATAAGAAATCAACAGTAATTACTTGCTTAAAAATACTATAACACATTTCTTCATACCTTTGCTAAGCTTTTGGTATCTATGTTGCTGGCTTGAAGTGAACTAAATGTGCACTAATCAAAATGTAGTTGTTTTCGCAAAACAATCCCGAAGTTTATTATTCATCGACAAACTCGGCTACGGTGGTATTGGCCCGTATTCCAGGAATTTCACGAGTAGCCATCTTTAAAGTGAATTTGACGATTAGCCTTTACTTTCAATGATGCGAACGTAATCAGTTCCGCCCTCGAAATTCAATCTTTGAAGCTGGAAATGTACGGAAATGAATGCCATATCTGTGGGACATCTTCCGTCCCCAAATATTGATATATCTTTGAGAGACGTACCACTGGATGGCTTCGCAAAGTTGCACAAATACGGTGAAACTCTGGTGAACTTATTATTGACAATATTATCGCATATCTTTGGCATCTCTGTGATCTGAAGGTTTTCATGTATTTAACGGGTATATCATATCCATACATCAATTCAGGTGCCGAAGTACTTGATATTTATATCAATGGCAGTTGCACAGCATTGACTACAAAATAAAAGGTTAATCAAGATGACAAATTGTAGATATGCTTTTGTTTGTTTGTTTTTTCATTTTTTTGTTTGTACCAATTAGGTGGAAAGGAGTAGCCGTCGCCAAGTAACGGTGACAAAAACTCCTCCATTTATTTTCAATTTCAATAAAAACAAAACAAATTGCAGACGTACGCGTCGAGTAAAACTAAAAAGCCATTCACACTCAAATGCACAGCACTCAAAAACATTATTCCCCTACGTAGTACACGTGGGCCAATGCGTTGACGACCACGTGAGCAAACACAAAAGCAAATGAAAGAATGGTTTCACTGCGCATCCTTCGGCGCAATGCAGAGCCTGCCCTTCGGAGTCGGGATTCTGATGTGACGATCCTTGGCAGAAGAAAACAGAACGGCACGTGAACACACTGAGGCATTTTACATCAAAGACGAAAGAAATATGGTTTTGCCAGCAACGCGACTGTTTTAGTATACAACGTGAAACAGATCTTGTTATACCCTTTGCCTTGATACGCCCACCATTGCTTGTGGTGGGCGTATCAACATACAGCATACATCTGGCCATGGGGAGTAAAATGTAGGCATCACAGTTTACTTGTGTCCAATGAAAGGGGAATTAGTGCACGTACCAACTTCTCGAGTTTCTTTATATTTTGCAATCGTGCATTAGCGCT